AATAAGTCAAGAAAAGTGGGATTCTAAAGTACTATGCAATCAATACATGATCCTGCTTTACAACCAGTCTTTGGAAAAAAGTATTCCATGGCTGCTTTCTCCTATGAAACCACCAATCAGCATAAAGTCCATGAAGCTTGAGGGCAGCCTGTAGTCAAAATACTGAATTGCCTCCTTTTAGTATTAAGGCTACTAGGTAAATACTTCACCTTTAGTTGTATCGTTTCTGAATAGTGATTTTGTAAAAATGTCTTGCTGTGTATCATATTCTCAAGAGTTCACTTAAGCAATATCTATTGCTTAGCATACTTTAAAATTCCTTTCTTATTTAGTATTTAAACTTCTTTAGAATGGCTACCATCCTCATAGATTTGAAGGTAATTACAGGCATTTTGCTTCTTTCATATTGGAATGAGAGGAAGACCAACAGATGGACAGAAACACACCCTGATTTTAGACATACTTGCTCAAAAAGAAGGAAGTATGTATAAGACTGCAGCTTAACTACTGATCTTTCCATATTTATTCAGAAGTTCCCATCAAGTTTATAGGCACACTTACTTGTAAAGAAAGCTTACAATTAGCTTTGAGCAAACATGCATAGATGGAAATCCCAAGAATACTTAAGCATAAGATCTTCTGAGATTTGGATGTATTTGTTAGGACTGGATTGACATACTATATCTAATGCATGCATGCATGGCATCTCTTTTATACACAATATTCACTTGATTCCAAAATCTTTGCAAAATTTATACCGCCATGTTTCTCTTTAAAAAATTACACTTTTTGGTTAAGATTTTGCATGCTTTACAAATAGCTATACTTATGAGCACAACGGACCTTATCTCTGTATTATCCCCTAGAAACTAGGAAGTAGAGGATTAAAAAACTGGGCACAAAGATTTTAAAGGACGATGGGCAACCGAAGCAGCAAATTTCAAAATCCAAAAAATAATGTAGCTCAGGTATGCTGGCAGGAAAGAATGGCCACTGATCTGGAAATTCTGGACAGGCATAAAATACTGTAATGATGTTTGTTCACTATCAAGGAAAAGGAGTTTATATGTGTTCAAGGACACTGGTGCACTGTTCCCCTACTGACTTCTGACATTAAAAAATGAATCCAGGGATTCAACCCGACAGAAAATCCTGAACTCTAAGGATTCCTTACTATTCAGTATTTTTTTGCTTGTCTGTTTGTTCATCTTTAAAATGGAACATGTATCTCTTGTGAAGGAGATACATGTGGATTCACAGACATTCCTCTGCAGCAGCAATCTTCCAGCAAAAAAGCAAGGAGGGAACATTAAGTGCTGAGCCTTTCTTGATCCTTTCCTCTACCCACCCGTTCTGAGCCCATGATCCGCAGCCTAGCAAGCAGACAATCAGCACCAGCTGTGGCCAGCAGCAGTAAGCTTTGCCCTCGAGCAACAACCACCCAGAGAGGAAAATAAGGAGACTCTTCCCGGTCACCTTTCCAATGCACTGTATCGCCGCTTGCGTCTTAGGTCACAGAGACAGAGAAAAACCATGGAGTCCCGTGCGAAACCTACTGCATACTTCGCTGGGTCTGGAAAGAGACCAGCCCTGCTCCCTCGGTGTTACGAAGCGAAGGAGCCAAGATCAGCTGGCAGCGTCAGCCGAACCGCCCTCCGTTTAAGGAGAGATGCTGCTTTGTACCAGCAAGTAGATTCATTTCATGTAAAAAAAAAAAAAGGTGAACGCGCCCGCTTTTCTCCTGCCTCCAAAACAGCTGCTCCTCCTGTGCCTCTGGGATAGCTCCGCACGAACAGATTCACCACCCTACGACACAAGCCTCCCACACCCGTTGCTCAAAAAGCCAAGCAGAAAGTTACTGCTGCTCCGCCGGCCTGCGCGCCTCTGCAAACGAGCTCGGGAGCCGGAGGAGTGCCGCGCGCACGCTTCTCGCACCCGGGGCTCGCGCGCTCCTCCCGAAAGCCGCCGCCGCCGCCAGACAAGGGGCAGAAGCGCTGGCCAAAGTTACGGGCTGTCCCCTTCTCATGCGCTGCACCGTCAATGCCCCACACCCGAGCCCACTTCCAAACGTAGACAGATGCTGTACAGCGACACTTCTCCCCCCACACCGCATTGAAGCAGCGCCGGCATCGCTGGCCCTGCGCGCCTCGCCGCTCGTTGCACCCTGCGGCTTACCTGCGAAGGGACAGCTCGCCTTGCTGTTGCTGCTGTTCTGAGGAAAGACGGGTTCCCCGCTCCAACTGAACCCCAAATTAAAAAGGGCACGCCTGCCAAGGAAAAATTCCTAGCGCGGCCAGAGGAGGCTTCTTCATCTCGCGGATTCCTCCTTCTGCTTCTGCTTCTGCTCCGCTCTCCCGGGTCTTCACTTCTCTCCTCCGGGATGGCAACGGGAGGAACGAGAGCACCATTCACATCCCGGCATCTCTCAAGGCAGCTACTGCTGCCACCGCCGCTGTTGCTGTTACTAATAATATCAGCCGCGGCACCGAAGCAGGCAGCTAAGTCACGCCCCCTCCCTCCGGCTCCGCCTCTAGAAATCACCCAGGGGATTGGCTCGAGCTGGGCTGTAGCCTTTACGTAACCGACCCCCCTCACTCCGCCCAGGGAACCGAGGCCAGCAAATGGGTT